GTAGAGAAGAACATGACCCCCTAGCCTCCCCGGCGTTGACGGCCATGTATGCTTCGCTTGAATATACCAACATTTCCTAAGGTATGAACTGCTGCCAAAAAAAAAGCTGAAAAAAAAGTGCAAAACCTGGTTAATGGACTACCAGTTTGTACAACAAAAAAAAAGCAGATCTTCTAAAATATTTTGTATTGACCTCCTTTAATACATTTACTTTTAAAATGTGAAAACTATTTAAACCCTATTTTTTACATTGTATTACCATCAAATATCTAATTACATTTTAAGAAATGTTTTTTTGATTTTCTGCACTAAAAGATTATTAATAAATAGCTCAATGGGGTCAGAGCAATAACATTTGTTTTTGCCATGTATAACATCTGTGAAACAACATCCGAAATTTAATACTACTTTTAAAGATGGTGAAAATATTTATTATACGACGTAAAATATGAATTTCAGCAGCCTAATTTCTAATAACTCAAATGATTTTCTTTAAGAATACTTACTGTTTAGATTAATTATGCAGCGCAACAATCTTTCTTTGTATTCTAGATGATTATTATTTCGCTTATACCTCAACTAATGTTGATAGCAATCTTGATGAGAAGTTTTGACAGTTTGTTCACTATAGGGCCCCAAGGGGGATCTTTTGTGACTAATGAAATCCTTGATGTGGTAGAAGACGGCATGAATTTTGGGTGTTACGCTTGCACCAGTTATCATTTGGTAAAACTATTTAAAATTTTCAATTTTTTCAGGGAAATCCGGCTGTAGGATGTATCCAAAGCAAGCCTTGACAACTATATCGAAGCTTTTGAATGCTTCAATTATGCACACAATATTGAGAACCATGTTTGTCTCAGCAAGTTGCTGCAGCATATCCACATTTTTAAGAAGCTTCCTGCATTCATTTCCCTCAAACTGGCCCCCGTGATACGAGCTCAGTTAAATGTGGAGGGCGGCAGGCCACTTAACAGCTTCTATCCAAGCAGTTTTAAGGATCTTGAAAAGATGGTTGAAAACTCCTAAGAGGAGATGCAATTCCATCGGTGGAATCATTTCCAAAATCAGAACATAGACAGGCCCGCAAATAATTGGCTTTCGAATGACATTACCAAACAGCTTTGCATTAGCAACAACCCCGCCAGATTGCTGAAAAGACTCAAGGCTTGAATTAATTGAGCTCAGTGTTTGCAAGTTTCCAGATTTTGCAAGACAATTGGATTTGACGTCACACCAGGTTCAAGGGTGCGTACTTGAATGAGTTTGAAGACCACAAATTATATTTGCAACTTTCATATCACAAGCCAAAATTAGTTTAACTCCATTTACATTAATCAGTGACCAGATTTGTTCAATATTGGAGTGTGTTTCTGGCAAATCTTCTGAAACCCTAACAATAATTTGTCTATTGACACCAGTGTCTTTACCAGTCCTTTGAATGAGAGGTTGTTGTTAGTGTGATGAGCTGGTTTCATCCCTTAACGCAGTATCAACAATGCTTAAGCAAAACTTGAGAAAACCTTTGCCACCATCAATTCTGAGCTTAACAAAATAGCCACTAGAAATTTTGCGGGACTGAATAACATGATTCACAAGACTTGATAATCATTGCAGTGAGCAACAACATGAACTGTACAAGAATCTGTTTTTTCTTCTGTGATTTTTAAGTTGCTGCAGATGAAGAAGTCGCTCAATTGTTGACCTAGTCTTAGAAACTTTATGTAGAAATTCGCTCTACCATCTTGCTGCTTGATGTTTTTGTTTATAGTTCTAACAAGTTTCTTTAATCCGTTGTTTGACAGGCCCGTATTTAATTGCACATTTACAAAGGCTACAGTGGTCAATTTCGGAGCACTTGATGGTGTCTGCGCACTTTGTTTGGTAAGTTTGTGTAAACCTTTGAAATTATTTGTTTTTAAAGAAATTAGAAACTTGTCAAAAATATACTTCTTTAAATCTATCTAGTGTTATTTCTTAATAGTCAAGACTTTATTTTAATATATATGTTAAAATTATTTAAGTATAAATATTACCCAGGGGTAATTGTTAGTGGAGGCCCGCCGGATGCTTAAGCCAGTAGAATAGTTCCTTCCGGAGATAATTTTTTATTGGAAATAACTCGAGATGTGATTTGTTTAGATGATTTGGCATCTTTTGCTGCTAAAGATTGAATGTTTTTCCTTAACATTATTTGAGAGCATTGGTGGGGCAAACCTTTTCCTAAAGGGCTGAGGCATTTGTTGCAACGCATATTTGGTTTTTTCTCAATAGTGGTTTGCTCTATAAGAGAATGTTTTTCCTGCAGCTTTGAATTACCAATTCGGCATATTAGGCAACAGCACATCGTGCCTCTTGTTTCAGGTCTCACTTGTATTGAATAAAAATCAAACAAGGGAGGGAGTGCAACTTCTTTCCCCTCTTGTTTCCTGCGCAAGTAATTCTACACGATTCGCAGAATACTTTTGGTGCTCGATTATCACTGATATTGATTTTGGTTTTGTACAGTTGGCATATTCGATCTGCTTGAAAAGTAGTAAGCTGTCTTAAACATTTTTTCAGACAGAGCAAGCACACAAACTCTCAATTTTCATCATGATTCTTTGCTTAATTTGGGATCGTGGCAATTCACTAAATTTGACTTCACTAAATATTTAAACTATTTACTTGTAAAGAAATTACATTATTGACAATTGTCGCACTTATTAAACTAATAATACTTGTCACCCGGGTTGTTTTATTTCAAAACCACCCTTTAACCTAATTAGTTATTCATTTAGAGTAATTTTCCTTTGATTGGCCATCCAAACTTTGTATTGGTCAGATATCTTAGTTAACTTATCTAAATTTTTAAGTCAATTATCTTTGTCAATATAAAAAATATTTGGTTTTTTGGCACTAGGTTATACCTTAGGAAATGTTGGTATATTCATGTTATGCATACATGGCCGTCATGGAAGCCATAGCCTGCTAACTTTTTTTTTTGCGAGGACCTTTTGTTTTAGAAATATAGGAAACTATTTTAGAAATTATGGATTTTATTTTAGAAATTGAGGCGTTGACCCCCTCTACTTTAAAGGCCGTGTCGACGCCATTGGCATAAGCCAATTCAAATCACGCTTTAAGTAGCAAATCACTATTTTGGTTTATAAAATGAAAACTGCTTATGTACTGATAAAATAATTATAACAAAAATTGTTGGTATTACATAGCAGAACACTCATGTAACCGTTATTTTAAAAATAGTGACCGAATTTCAAAGTAATTGGTAACGCTTTGAGCTATAAGTAGCAAAAAACTGACAACTAAACTGACAAAAAACTTCAACTAAAACTGCAATAAATCCTTCACCAGTTATCCAATCAGGTTAAAATTTTGTCCAGAGTTTGGTGTGACTATTGGCTACATTTGCACTAATTTTTATTAAATTATATTGAGTGGTTCAAATTCTACACGTGTTTTTATTGGCACACTATGAAGTCAAAATTTGACTTAATTTGAAAATTCAAATTAAATTATTTTCCGCGGACAAAAGCAAATAATTTCAAAATTTGCATCACAGGGTACCTTGATGTGTACGCTTACTTTCCGTATAAGTGGCGTTCTTGGGACAGCTAGGTCGGCATTATAAGGATCCGTGCTAACCGTACTGTGTTCTACCTATCTAATCAGTTGATGTATGTACACTACCTGCCTGTTCTAAATGTTCACGTCAGTCTATGTATAAACACTTCCTAATTTTTATAATAATAAAATTTTATAAATAGTATAACTTTTTAAATATTTAACAATATAACAACAATCATAAACATTACGCATAAAACTTGAACTAAATACTTTAAAATATAACATAAAAGTATACTCAGAGACATAATCGTTCAAAAGGAATCGATCCAGCGTCGCCGGGCGAAGAGGTAAAATCGCATAACACAAGTTACGCTCCCCGTAAAAATAAGTGTAAATAAGTTAATAATACTGTTTTTTACGCTATGCTATTAAAAA